ATTTCAGCATAGTTAGACATTTGGAAATTTTCATAATAGAACATCCCTTATTGTGCTACCCGAGGACAGACAGGAACTGCTGTGAGTTGAGTTATATCTCATATGTCAAGATTCTAACCTCCGGTAACACAGAAGGAGACCACACTTTGGAACCAGGTTCTTTACGGAAGCAAACAAGTGAAAATGAATGTGTTGGGGACATCTGAACCTAATCTGTATCCTTATAAGAGGGGACATTTGAATGTGACAGCATGGACCTGAGTAAACCCCTTGAACATAGAGGGTATGTTAGGTGAGGCTACTTGAGAGGTCATCATGGATGTAAACATGAAGATGAACATGTGTCAGCCAAGGAGAGGTCTGGGCAGGACTCAAGAATGAATTCTATCCATAGCATTTATGGTTTCTGGAACTATGAAAAGTAGTGATTCTTGGTGTTGAGCCAGTGTGTGGTATTCAGTCATGGCCACCATGGCTAACAGTGTCCTGATCAGATCTTTGTACTTGAACTTAAGTACTCATGTAAGGATGGCGTTCAGTACTGCTTGAGGGAAGGAGGTTCCTCTTGCAAAGTTAGGAACCTGGAAAATGAGCATGTACTAATATCTTCCTTGGAAGGAAAGAAGGAACGTAGGAGAATCATCCTCTGGGATCTGAGGGGCAGCTCATGTCCAGTACTGAGGCAATAGGCATAGCGTTTTTACCATTGCTGACTCACCCATAGAGTTTTTACCATTGCTGACTCACCCAATGGCATTTCCCAAAGAAGAACATCTAAGAGAAAGTGTTTAGAGCTATGTCTTGCTGGGCAATACATTCGAACTCTTTACTATTCACAAAGACATAGGTACTCTTGGCTCCTCTTAGGGCTTAAGGGAGGTCTTTAATACGGTACTACATCTAAAGCTCCAGTAACGCAGTAGATGCTCCAGCAATTGGGGTAACCACTCTGAAACAACATTGAGATTAGGCAGGTGAGGTTCAGTGAACTGGCTCAAAGACTTGTTTGTTCAATAAACAAGTGCAGGTGAAGGCCAGCAGCATGTGGGTGTGCATGTGTGGAGATCAGGATCAATACTCCAGTGCTGTTATGTGTTTATCCCCATTGGACATGCTGAGAATCGATTACGTCTCCCCACCAGTGCTCGGAGAAGGCATGGTACAGTAGGCAGAGTACTCACTGGTGCAGAGCATAAAATAAGATTCTAATTCTCATTTGTCTCCAGTGGGGTGGCCTTGGTAAGGTTCAGATTTCTCCAACCTATACTTCCTTGTCTTCCAGTGAGAGCTTCTATGAATGACGAGCACTGCTGTATGTGCCAATCCTGATGTTCTGCCCATGGCAGACATCACTAATCACCATGATGCTATTTCTGCTCTGTGCAAACAGTTCCAGAATTCCTACCACACTGATCCTCCGGGATGCACCACATAGGACCCAATATGGCGGCTGGGATGGAAACAGCTTACTGAGTTGCCTAAAGATCTCTAAAGTGCCTCCCAGGTATTCATTATGCATCCCTCAAGGTCATCTCCTCTCTACTTCCCTCATTTCCTCCCTCCCCACCTCGCTATCCTCCCATTCTCCCTCTACCTCTCCTTCCCAGCCTCCCTCTCTCTCCCTCTCCCCCTCCCATTTATGTGGGTACATGAACATGTGTACATGACAATGTGGAGACCAGAGGTTGAGAGCAGATGTCTTCCTCAAGCCCTCTTCCTTATTTTTTGACACAGATTCTCTCACTGAGCCTGAGCCTGAACAATTCAGGTAGATCAGCTGGTCAGTGAGCTCCAGGAACCCAGTTCTGGGGTTACAGGTGTGTGTTATATCACCCAGCTTTAACATAGGTGCTGTGGATCTGAACTCAGGTCCTTGTGCTTGCATGGCAAACACTGTACCGACTGAGCCTAGCCTCACCATCTCCCAAGATTTTCATGTGGTGAATATTTATCCTTTTTGCTGGATAGAGTCCTTCATCAAGACTTGCCCTGCTGTACCATCTCTCTCTGCCAATTTATATTTCAGCTCTCCTTTCTGGAACCAGAGTCCTACATCCTAGCCTACATCACCCAGATTCCTTTTGTGACTCCTGGAAATCTAGACTAGTTTGAATAAGACTACCAGCCCACCATACTTCACATAGGTGTTGAGTCCCCAGAGTCATTTGTTAATGGTACAAACGTTGTCCAAACAAAACCTAATTATGGAATCTAAAGATGAACCTTTCAGAAAGTGATTAGGACTAGATTAGGTCATTAAGGCAGAGCTCCCAAAATGGAATTCTGATGGTTTATAAGAAGTAGGAGAGACACCAGATTTGCAGATATGAACATAGACTCCCCTCCACATGGTATCATTGGCTGTCTCATGACGCTGGCAACAAAGAAGTTATGTGCAGAACTGAGCCAATGCCAGCAACATGGCCAGAACACTCAAATCAAATCTTTTTTTAAATTAAGCTAACCTACCTTGGGTATTTCATTATGATAATGAGATTTATACAACATCTCAGAGTGGGATTTGTACAGATGATTCCACATGCCTTTTTCCCATCTCCCAGTCACAGTTAGCAGATCACAGTATTCGCCCACTGAGAGACAGAGTCCCTGATGTGCTCTCAACCCACTCTGTCAGGCCATGGTAGATTAAATGAGAACAACCGCCCATTTCATCCTTAGCTAATTTGGCCAAAGAAAACCCAGGGCAAACTATTAACCTAAGGAAAGAACTAGGTGTGTGTGTGTGTGTGTGTGTGTGTGTGTGTGTGTGTGTGTGTAGGGCTGTCAGATCTAAGTGGTACAATGAAGCACACCCAGCACTGGAGACCTCCCCAAGCCTCACTGTTCTGTTCCTCTTCCAGCCTTCAAGACAACTCCAAATGTGCCTGTGCCCAGGAAGCTGCTCCCCAGAGCAGAAAGAACATTGACTCTAAGTGCCTCATCACCCAGCTTGGCCAGCTTGCCTTAGTTTCTACAGGCTTTTTGTTTTGAACAAGTCACTCATACTTTCCTGGGCTTACTTACAAAATATAACAATGACTGCCTCTTGTATTGGGGGGGGGCACAAAGTGTATCCCTAGCAGACAAATGAGTCAAGAGCATCTGCTCTTCCTACTCAATACTGGTCTGTTACTGCTTGTGTTTCTACACAGAGGAAAAAATACTGCTCGTGCACATCCTGGAGACATGCAAAAGGGAACAAAGATGATGAGCTGTAGGGATACCATGGGAATACACCAGATTGCGGGGCCTTTGAGAGAACTATTCCAGTCACTTAGCCAGCATTTTCTGTCCTGCCTTCTGACTATGAGCAGTCTGTCCTTCCTCTGAATCCAGCTTAGAACCTCCTGGTAGAGAAGGTTTCATCTTAGGGAATGCTAGCTGAATTCTGAGTTCAAGGGGAACCTAAACAACTCAAGGTTCTGAGACAGGCCAACATAGGGAATGATTAAGAACCTAGGACTCCACTTGGTTTGGGCATCTTCTGTCTATCTATCTATCTATCTATCTATCTATCTATCTATCTATCTATCTATCTATCTATCTTCTCTTTATGTATCTGTCTCTACTTAGCAGCCTAGTTCTTTTACTTGCACATTCTATACACACACACACACACACACACACACACAGGCGCGCACACACTGCTCCAGACAATGTGCTTTTCAACCTCAAAACCCCACCTGCAATTATTTTCACATACAATCTCCCGACAATAATAGACATTTCTCTGCCCCTAACAACAAACAAGGTACTACTCGTATGTTCCCAGTGTGCTGGGTAGGAAGAATAGAAAGGCCAATCTGGCTTGAACTAATTTTGAGTACATGCGCAGTAAGGCAAACTGTGTCCCTCAAGTGAATTTGCACCCTATTTATCATCTTATGTATTTGCATAATTGGGTATGTTTATGATTAAAATCATAGTCATATGAGGAGAAACATGAGCAGTAGGGGAAAAATGAATGCTTTGTTGGGGAAGTCTTATGTCAATAAAGCACTGTTGAGCCAATAGGGAACCAAGATAGGAGGGACTAGGAGTCCAGGAGGACTCTGGGAAGGAGAAACACAAGAGAGTCGAGATGTAACGCCATGGGGTAGGAAGCCCGGAAACTTCTCCGGTAAGAGACATACTTAGATTAACAATTATGGGGTAATTACTTAAGTTAGAGCTAGCCAGTAAGAAACAAACAAGGCCAACAGCTTCATAATTAATATAGCCTCCTGTGTGTTTATTTGGGATTGATGCGGCTCTGGAACCAAGCTGGCGGAAAGGCTTCTCTCAAGGAAAAAGCTTCTCTTTACAATGCATGACCTAATCTATCAGTCATAATGAGCACCCCTGAGTAACCAGCCCCACCATCCTTTAGACCCCACATAGGTCACCGTCAAACTTAACTGTGTATCCCTCTATCATCTGTACAGTGACTTCTCTCCAAATAGTTATAGTGTTGCTTTGCACACCCATGGATCTTTGAATACCTTTGTGTGCCAACTTTCAGTTCTTTGGCTAAGAAAGCAAGAACCAGAAACAGCTGGCCAAGAGCCTGACCACAGTCCAGAGGTGTTCACACACCCTCACCACAGTCCCAGAAGCATTTGGTGGACACAGTGGGGACATATGCTCCCAAATGACACCTAGCTTATTGGAAAGAGTGACCCAGTATATTTTTCTCTAATCCCTTTTCAGTACCCAGCCATGGTCAAATGTAAGCAGATGCGTCAGGTGTGAGGAAGGATGGATGGATGGATGGATGGGTGGGTGGCATGAGAGGGAAGATGTGCCAGGGTGCCCCTCTTCTTGCCTGACCTGCTGCATGACCCTTTTCCACAGCTGGCTGGCTCAGCAGTCTCTGTGCCTCCAGGCTCCCCATACACCAGTGAGCACAGCACTGAGGCTGGAGAGGCTGGAACAATTGCCAGAGGGAGGGTACATGCTGACCTTGCTATGTGACCATGACTTCCTGAACTTGTGAGTAATGTTTGCTCTCCCCTCACTCCTCTGTCCAAGGCAGCTGTGAATACATCAGACTCCCACTCTATGTCTTGTAAGTAAAACTTTCTTTTCTCCGGCCTGCGGTTTGGGCCCCAGAGCTCCTAATTTTTTTCTTGGGGATATGGTTCTCTACATGATTAGAGACCACTGCAGGGACAGCTCCAAGAATAATGCAGCTTTGCAGGCCTGCATGTCATAGGGCCTAGAAGGCTGGTATTCAGAGGTTCTTATTACAGAGGGAAACCTGTTCTGAATGGAGGGGGCAATGAAAGATAAAGCTTCACTGTTGGAGATACAGGCTTGTGGTTATATATTGTTTATGATTCATTAAAGCTTGCCTAAGAGTACAGAAAGCAAATCTGGTGACAAGCCATCGAGCCAGGCAATGGTGATACATGCCTTTAATCCCAGCAGCCATACTAGCTAGCTATAGAGCCAGGCAGTGGCGGCACACATCTTTAATCCCAAGACTCAAGGGACAAACTGGTAGATCTCTGTTAGTTGAGGCCACACTGAGCTACAATGAAACTGATCCAGTTCTAAAGAGAAACACCTCACACAAAGGTGACCTCAGCACTTGGGATGACTCGCCTTTAATCCCAGCACTAGAGACGTATAAAAGGAAAAAGGTTTCATGTGAAGCAATTAGTCTCTAGCCAAGTTGAGGAGAGCATGGCAGTCTGAGTGAATCTGAAGAATAGTGAAGTCGGGGGCGATCTGAGGATCGCCCCTTTGGTCTGAGGTAGAGATAAGAGCTAGTGACTGGCTGCTTTGCTTTTCTGATCTTCACTTGAAGCTTGAACCCCAATATCAGTCTCTGGGTCTTTTAATTTTCATGTTACACGAACTGTGTAAGAAACCTGGCTCTGCCACTAGCTGGCTGTGGACCCCAAGGAGGCCATCTGACCCGCCTGGGCCCAAGTTTTTGCTGGACTTTGGGGACTAAATGGCATATTGCTCAAAGGACAAGACGGTGCTGGGTAGACCATTAGGTGGGGGTTCAAATAGGCCAAGTGAGAACTCAAGAAGATGGCATTCTGAGGAAGGCCACCTGGTGGGTAAAAGCAGGAAACTGCCCGAAATTGAAGGAACAGGAGGCATCTGGAAAATGGTTTTCTCGGGTAGCAGAAGGATGTCGGGGCTGTACCAACAAGGGAATATAAATCTATAAGCCCCCACTTCTGCCAAACTCAAGAGCAAACCAGTGGGTACAGAAGAGGTGGAACCTAGTCTGAAGGCCTCAGGCTCCAAGGGACAAGCAGGTCAGAGAAGGGCAGAAGCATGCACCTGGACAGCAACTGGCTGGCACAGGGGCTTCGGGTGAGTGGGTGGAAAGCTGGAACATATACACAGGCAGTAAGAGATCAGAGTTCAACTCCAAAGCTCACAGGGAGCAGTCAGAGTGGGTTTGCTATAGTCTACAGTTTGGTTGAGTATCTGTCGGCTTCTCCCTACTCTGTTCTCACAGCAGGCCTGGCATAGTTTGTGGGCAGGTGTTCTGACCTCTGTTCACACCTGGGGTCTCCACTGGGAAGGACAGAAGTTAACTGAGTCATGCTATGATCTGCCAGATTCTTGAGCCTGACGGTGCCCAAGATCTTGCCAATCCCTTAGAATTCCCAGGTCTCCCCATCCAAAGCGAACCTAAGGCCCCCAAGAGCAGCAGGAAGCCGCTCTGGAGCTTTGTGTCTCGTAGGGCCAGACTGAGTGGAACTACTGCTTTCTTTATCTAGGATGGCACACTCCATTCTGTCTCTCTGGCTGCTGGTAGCTGCACTGGTTCCCCATGCCTGTGACAAAGAGACACCACTAGCATCATTGACTCAAGGCCTGTCACCAACACCAGTGATTCAAAGGAAACGACCCCCCATCTTCAACAACCAAAAATTTGCCTTGAGCCTGTACAGACAGCTGCCAGGGACTAACAAAAACAAAAACATAATCTTTTCTCCACTCAGTATCGCTGTGCCCCTCACGCTGTTGGCCTTCCAAAATAAGCCGGAAGCCCGCCACCTGATTCTGAATGATCTGGGGTTCAGAGATGCCAAGGACCTGGACAATGAGGCACCCATGAGCTATGGGAACCAGCTGGGTGCCCTGCTGCGTGACGATCAGTGTGGAATCCAAACTGGCAGCTTGCTGTTTATGGACAAGAAACTAAAACCAGAAAGCAAGTTTCTCTCACTAGCCCAGAGCGCCTACAGCAGTGACGTCATCCTCATCTCCTTGGGGGACTACGAATTAGCCCACAAGCAGATAAACTCAGTTATGCGAGACAGGACCCACGGGAAAGTTAAGAGGCTGTTGAGGGATGTGAAGGCTCTATCTGACTTGCTTCTGGCCAATTACAACTTCTTTAAAGGTTGGTGAGCCTTAAATGGAGCCTTGGCAGCGCCTTGCTGACTGGAGACTTACTCCATTCCTCTAGATCTTTCTGGATGTTCTCAGCTCCATTGGCTTGGAGCAGTGTCCTGCTCTTATCCAGCTCTGTTGATCACCTCTAGATGCCTCCCTCTTGAGTCCTCTCCCTTATCCTTTCCACCTGTGTGTGTGTGTGTGTCTGTCTGTCTGTCTGTCTGTCTTTCTTTGTATATTACTCTCTGTCTCTGTCTCACTCTGTGTATGTTTCTGTCTGTCTCTGTCTCTCTGTGTGTCCCTGTCTCTCTGTGTCTGTCTCTCTCTGTGTATGTCCCTCTGTATCTCTATCACTATCTCTCTGTCTTTCTGTCTGTCTCTATGTATGGCTCTCTGTCTCTCTTTGTCTCTGCCTCTGTCTCTCTCTGCTCTCCTCAATATCATCTAGCCCTTTGGGTCATTAGGAAGGTCTTGAGAAATATTTCACTTAGGGTATAGGGAGGTCAGAATCATTTAGATTTATTCCAGTTATTAGCCTTGAAGGGAGCATCAGGAGAAGGGGACTTCCTGGGTGGAGGAAAGCTCCCATTTGGAGCATGCCAAGCACAAGCTGCTCCATTCAGAAGGTGATCAGGTGGCTGGCAGGCATGGGGATCTGACATGGAGTTGGGGGCCTTCTGTGCACAGGAAGGTTGTAGCCAGCTTTCATGGTCTAGCTCACTGAAGGGAAGATCCCAGGATAGAGAAAGAGCAGGAAAGGAACGCCATGATGTGCCAGCATTGCGCTGAGTTCCCAGGAGAGAGAACGGCACCAAGGTTGGGCAGAGGAGCAGAAAGGCCACGCTGAACTAGGAGAAGTGTCCAGCTGCATGGCCAGCAAGAGCCACTGGCAGCCTGGTCAGGCAGGTGTGGAAGGACAAGGTACCCTTCTGTGTGGTGGGTTGAAGGCAACTTGATGAAACAGTTTGAGACAAGACATATAACGCTCCCAGAGCTCACACTTGTGTGAGGTAGAATGCAAGGCACATTGGCATAGCCCCAGTGGTCTTCCAGAGGTGTGAGCTAGGCAGTCACACAGGGCCCTGCTGGTGTCTTAATGCTCTGCTGGCATTACTGGGAGGTGATTTTTGAGCAAAGGGCCCCTCCTCTCGTTTGTCCTTGAGTCCTAAGAGTAATGTAGCTGGTCCTGGATTGACATGCCTCATCCTAAGACTTAGTAAGGAGGAAAGAACAGGGGCCTCCATCTATAAAAGGAGCTTCAGATTCTGGAAGGGAGAGGTCAAGAATGGAAGAAAGGAGCAGGATAAGAAGTAAGTATAGGAGAGGCCCAGACAAGGAGTCCACAAGTGTGAGCTCTGGGAGCATTATATGTCTTGTCTCAAACTGTTTCATCAAGTTGCCTTCAACCCACCACACAGAAGGGTACCTTGTCCTTCCACACCTGCCTGACCAGGCTGCCAGTGGCTCTTGCTGGCCATGCAGCTGGACACTTCTCCTAGTTCAGCGTGGCCTTTCTGCTCTTCTGCCCAACCTTGGTGCCGTTCTCTCTCCTGGGAACTCAGTGCAATGCTGACACATCATGGCGTTCCTTTCCTGCTCTTTCTCTATCCTGGGATCTTCCCTTCAGTGAGCTAGACCATGTGAGCTGGCTACAACCTTCCTGTGCACAGAAGGCCCCCAACTCTATGCCTGCCAGCCACCTGATCACCTTCTGAATGGAGCAGCTTGTGCTTGGCATGCTCCAAATGGGAGCTTTCCTCCACCCAGGAAGTTCCCTTCTCCTGATGCTCTCCTACACGGCTCAGTCAATTTCCCTGATTCCAGTCCAAGCCTGACACATGACGTTCCCATGCCCTGGGTATCTTTTCTCCCCACACAACATGCTAAATCTGACCACTGTCTCAACCACGGCCACTATTCTAGTTCTGTTTGTCAAGTCAGACTAACTCTTACCCAAGTTATTATGACTGTGCCCTCATTTTTCCTCTTTATTTCTTTGGGGTGGGCCAGGGGGCGGCTTGTAATCCTATTACCGTGACCTCCTACATCCTGGGACTTCAAATGTGTGTCCCTGTATCCAGCAGCAATTGCTTCTTAATGAGTCCTGTCTTCAACTTGTCTCACCAAGAGCCCTTGAATGCCCTCTCTCCTACTCCCTACCCTTCCTTTCCCTCAAAGCACCACAGGCTACTAGGAACATTAGCCCTACCTGAGCTACATGATCCCTGCAGTTGCTAGTTTCCCTGTTACAACCTCTGTCAGGTGAATGGCTTTGACCCTTCCTCCTCTCTTCTTCCTCAGTGATGGGCACTCCTTCAGGGTTCATCTCCAGCTTCCAGAAAGTCTTTCCTGACAAGCTCCCCGAGAGAGATTGTCAACTTTAGGAAGAAAGCAAAGGACCACAAAATGTCACATATATTTAACAATTGCTATCCCTCCAACATTCAGATGTAACTGGACGTCCTATCTTTTGTCTGGGCACCTTCCTTCAAAGGAGGTGTCTGTGGAGAAAAACAAACTTTTGTTTGGTACATGAAGTTTAAACTACTTCTTGGGAGTTTGGACGACAGTGGCCAGGTGGCTGGCAGGTATGGGGCCTGGCACTTTGAGAGGTGTAAGCTTGGGAATTAAGGACTTAGAACCCCAGAAAGCGGATCATTTTGAGCAGCTAAAGGGAACAACTTGATTCTGAGTCTGCTCCTCCTTTCTCTTAGTAACTCTCATGATTTTCTGATTATCTTTCTCAAGGCTGTGGACTGCTTTGTGCCGAAGTGTGGGTTCTTCTGTAAAACACCAGCCTTTACCATATCCAGTCAGGATTAAAGGCAAGAAAGTCAGTTTCCTAGTCCTCCCCCTGTCACTGGCCCTGGTAGGAGCTCCCAGCTCAATGTATCCACAGTAGCCTCGCTCAACCTGGCTCTGAAGAGCTGACCACCCAAATCCTGGCCAGATCCTCAGTTGTTTATATTCCCTTACTTCATAACATCTGTGTGGACAAGGATCTCTCACATGTGCCTGCGTGGCTGGCCACAAGAAGCATTCCTGGTGTGGATTGGCCTTAGGGCCTCCCTGATGGACAGTGTCATGTGCCCTGGATATCACTGGCCCCTCTGATTCCTGTGCACTCACTCTCTTGTCAGGGACATGGAAACATCGCTTTGACCCGAAGCTCACAACAATGAAGTACTTCACAGTACATGAGGGGGTCCGGATTATGGTACCCATGATGCAGCGGGTAGGCTGGTTCCATTCGCAGTATTTCTCCCACCTGCACAGCTATGTTCTCCAGATGCCCTTCACCTGCAACATCTCAGGAGTCTTCATTCTTCCAGAAGAGAAAAAACTGGAGGAGTGCGAGAAGGCAGTACTGGAGGAGAGTTTTGACACATGGATTCAGCCCTTACCACTGAGGTGAGAAACCAGCTATTATCACCTTCCACCCAGAGCTACAAGACCTTTTCCACAGCCACCTTGGCTCTGGATGAGAGGTGGAGACACTTCTGGTCTTTGGGATATAGGATCTGAGACTTGGTCACACACTTACTATCAGACAGGATTCAGCCACTCACATCTCCCAAAGATAGGAAAAATACACAGAACATAATCACCACCATCACCATTATCACCACCATCACCACCACCATCATCACCATCAACACCATCACCACCATCACCATTATCACCATCAACACCATCACCACCACCACCATTATCACCACCATCACCACCATCACCATCACCATCACCACCATCACCACCACCACCATTATCACCACCATCACCACCATCACCATCACCATCACCACCATCACAGTTGGGAGACTCATTCATGGCTCCGATGCTTTGTCTACTCATGAAGGCATCTGGAACTATGATCCAGCTCCATTAGGCCAATGCCTGGGAGTCAAAATGGGGGGAGATAGACTCATGTCCTTGTGCTTCAAGCATTTCAGAAATGAAAGTCAGTCAGATTTGCTTTTGGCATGTGATCATCTCTGGGTCTGTCACACACAGCCTCCATATGGCTGCTGGATGAAGAATGTCCTTTTGAATGTTAGATTTTTTTTATGTTTGTTTCTTACTTCATTCTCCCTAACATAAGCAACAAGAAAATACTGTGTGTATTTAAGGTAGACAACATGATGTGCGTGGGCATAGTGAATCACTGACCATACTCAGCTACTGAGCCCAATAATTGCTCGACACAGGTTCTGTTTTGCATATGTATCAGAAGCCTCCACGTAGCAGTTGGAACTACACAGTACAGAGTGAACATCTCCAGGTCCAGGGCTGCATGATAGAAATCCAGAAATATCCACCCTGCTTGAGTCAAGCAACACCTCCCATTTCTTCTCCCCCAGCCCCTGGCAGGCACCCTCTATGTCCAAGTGTGAGACTCTTTTGGTCTTGTGATCCAATGTGTGAACACATAACATCATCTGGTGTCATTCTGAGACACAAACAAGAAAATGTGTTACTCAGTCTGCCCTAGGATCTTTGAAGCCCAAGACAGGGGGAAAAGCTTGGCTAAGCTGAAACACAGACAGACAGAAACCTTTTTTCCAGCTGGACAAGGGCAGTCACAGCCTCTCTGAGAAGTAATACTACATAGTTCAAGGACCCTCAGCTTTCAGGAACAGTGTGGCTTTATGTCCTAACCCCTGCAAACCCCACAGCTGACAGAGAGAACCCAGGAGGTGAAGAATGAAAGTCAAGTCTGCACCACTTCAGCAGGTTCTGGGTGGAAACTTTCGGAGTCTGACCTTACTGTTTCTTTTTCTTACACATTTAAACACAGTAAAACTTGAGGGACAGGTTTCCATGTGACAATTATCACAACAAAGCTTCAGGCATAGCTCCATAGAAACTCCCTCGGAAAGCAGCAAACCACCTGTGACTTGACAGTAAGAATGACTTCTATTGGCTGATAGCCAGGGTTCAGGGCTCAGGGCTCAGGGCAAGGGCCTAAGGAGGGAGGAATTTTTTTTTTTTTTGGTTTTACGAGACAGGGTTTCTCTGTATTGTTTTGGAGGCTGTCGGTCCAGCCTGGCCTCGAACTCACAGAGATCCGCCTGCCTCTGACTCCCGAGTGCTGGGATTAAAGGCGTGCACCACCACCGCCCGGCAAGGAGGGAGGATTTGTAATAAGCACAAGGATAGAGTCTGTTGACGGAGGATGAAAAGTGCCTGGGACCTCTTTCATAAGGATGGGTTCCATTGACTGAGAGATATAAAGCTCAGAATTAGGGCCTAAACAATGCCCAGGATTTGGGAGGATTCAGGAAGGCTGGCCCATAGAATAGCACAAAGACCATTAGGCTGTTACACAACACCTACCTCAGACTTCCAGGTGACCAGGTGTACTGTGCATTTCCTTCATTTGAAAAAAAAAAATGGGTCAGCGAGCTTAACAAGGCTCGTCCCTCCAATGCTCGCTTTAAGCTGTGCCTCCTACAGCTTTGGACGAACTCATAGCCTCGTTGATGCCCATCTCATTTTCTGAGCAAGCCCAGCATTGCCAAGAGGATGGGAGGAAACTGCCTTCAGGAGTCTCTGGCACGGCCCGCCTGTTGCAGCCATGCAGCACAGAGCTGCTCTTGTTTGTTAGGGAGTCCCCAGGCTGGGGTGGATTATTAGGCAAAGAGGTTTCAAGTCCATTTTCTTCTTCTATCTTTCTGAGTAGCATGGGGCGGCTATTTTTCCCCAAATTCTCCATTCCTGTGACTCTTCGTCTGGAGAACTTCAAGTATGCTTCCAGCCGCCTTAATCTGTTCTTTGAACACATGGACCTCTCGGGAATCACCATGCCAAAGGCACCCCTGAGGGTCACCACGGTAGGTTAACACCCTGCGGCCAGGCTCTTTATGCTTAGCGGTTTCCCTTTCTGAACTCATTCAGGGAGCACCAATGAGCACCCACAGTATTCTGTGAACTCAAAGGCAGAAATGGTGATAACAACTCCAGTCGAGTCCTGGGCCTGGCCGTCTCTCAGAGATGGCTGGCCTGGGGAGACAGCCAGGAGCTTGGGTGCTCCAATGCTGGATATGTCTATGCACCAGAGGGCCCTCGTACCCCCTGGTGACATGAAGGCACTGTAATTGCAAGCGTGGCGTCCTACAAAAATGGCTTTTCCCCATGATGTGTCATCCCCACCACCACACTGCAGACGTTAGGAAGTTAGGTAAAGCAGAATGGGAGTGGAGTCATCCATATATGGGGGCTTCTTCTGGAATGGGGGAGGACTAAGTTACTGGCTGGCAACGTTGCAGGGGAGGCCCAAAGAGCAGATGCTGGACCGAGTGACTAAATGGTTGCATTCAGGCCACATGGAGTATGAGGGCCATTAGGGACTTCGGCAGGAAAGGAGCTGATGGGAACTGAGCCAGTGGAAGGAGAGTGCTGAAGGCCACCAGAGAAACAAGCCAGTGAGTGACAGCAGAGGCAGGCTTCACAGAAAAGTGCAGGAATAGAAGGAGAACCTGGAGAAGACTCGTTTCAGGATGAAAATTCCAGGATCTGGTGGCTTGGGGTGGGCAAATTACAAGAAAGCCATCCTTCCGGGGGGCAGGGCAGTGACCACGGCATATGGGCACAAACGGTTGCTCCCCAGAAAGCCAGGAGCAGAGTGAGGAGCACAGCCACAGTGTGAAGCCAGTGGTGGGTGGTGCAGACTGAGTGGAGAACAAGCCATGGTGTTCTTGAACTCTTGGAGATGCAGAGATGAGCCTCCTCTCTGCAGTGTCGTGTGCCTCCCTCTAGCAGGACAGTGCTAGGCCTGGATTCTGGGCATCCTGGGCCCAATGCAGCATGACATTTGCTGAGGATGGTGTTGGCACAGCCCCTGCTCCCTCAACACTGTGAACTTTGGTCTCCAAAGGCACTACACAGGGTGGAGCTGACCATGGATGAGGATGGAGCAGAAGAGGAAACCATCTCCGGCTTCCAAGGCATCCCCATGCCATTCCTCCATAACCTCAACTTCAATAGGCCCTTCCTACTATTAATTTTAGAGGAAGCCAGCCACAACCTTCTCTTCATGGGGAAAGTGGTGAATCCTACTAGTGTCAGATCGGTTCCCAAGACAGAGTTGAGAACCTAGAAGATAGAAAACTGGCCACAGCTTAGGAGAGTGACCAGCCTATGATGCCCACAGGAAGACTGGAGTTGGGGCAGTGAGTCTGACATTCCTTTGCTCATGATTGCATCTGAGGTGGTGGTTTTCTAATCTGTGGGGTAAGAGCAGCTACTCAAAGGGGACCCATGCAAAGACAAGAAGACAGAAACATAGACTGAGCATCAGTATGGGAGAGCTCCAGACATGGTGTCCTTTAAAGAAGGTGCCCCATGGAGGTTGGAGCTGGAGGCCCTGAATTCTGATTTTCTCAGACCCTCACTGGATTATAGTAGAGTTCTATTCCTTTGAAGATTGTTTCAATAAAACAGCAAATGAGAATGTTATGAGTGGTGTTTTTGCTCCAAGAGGGGGAGGGACCTGGAAAGACCTGGAAACCCTGTAAGAGCAACCTGGGAGCATGCTTGTGAGAAAGAAATGTCAGGGTCACCCTTTTGTTGCTGCTTGTTGGAATCCAGATGGCTCAGTGGTTCGCAAGGGTGTCAGTGAGCCTCTGTCTCTTTGGCAAGTGACTGAGAAGGAAAACATACAGGGGATGTCTCTAGGTCTCTTGATGAAAGAAGTTACCGGAAATTAAGCTGTGTTGAAGGAGTTGCAGTCAGCTCTGCTCCTGCAAAGACAACTACCTTCCAAGCTCTTTCCAAGAGGGTACCATCCTCCATGTGGAAAATGTTTTCACACAGGTCATTAGAGTTAGTGTCCATTGGGCACAGTCATAGGACTGAAAGATAAAGATGGAGGACTGTCTCCAACTTCAAGAGCCCATTCCATAGGCACAGGACATGCAGCTATCATGGATGCATGGACATTGGTTAACAATACAACATATGGTCTTGATCTACAAACAGGATTCATGTTTTAACTGGTAGTTGTATCAGATGGAGTTTTGAGAGGAGAATAGCAGAGGGCTGGCAGATTGACTCACTCTGAGAGGGGAAAAAGAAGCACACCAATGAGCAACAGTGAATGAACAAACAGTTCCAGAAACCCTACCATAGTGATCCTCCAGGATGATGCACCACATAGGAACCAAGATGGCGGCCAGGATGTGAACAGCTTACTGAGTTAGTGATCTTTAAAGTGCCTCCCAGTTTGTCTGAGTCTATTCTTCTTTGCTAGAAATCGACTTCATTATGCATCTCCCAAAGTATCTCTCTCTCTCTCTCTCTCTCTCTCTCTCTCTCTCTCTCTCTCTCTCTCTCTCTCTCTCTGGGGGGTGGAGGATGAAGCAGGGAGGATGAAGGAAGTAAGGGGATATTCTGTCCCACTGTGTAGTCTGGCTGGCCTTGAACTCAAAGAGATCTGCTTGCCTCTGTCTCTTGAATGCTGGGACTTAAAAACATGTAGCACCATGGCTGGATCTCACAATTTCAGTTTAATCACAAGGAAAACAGAGAATTGAGGATATCCTAATGTCAACCTCTGCCCTCCACACATGGTCTAGCATATATGTGTGCACACATGACATAACACACACATATACACACACAGAGACAGTTTTCTAAAGCTAAAAGTTATGATTTGGATATGGCTTGTTTTTTGCCTGCAGATCTGGATTTTGGTATCAAGGTGATGGGACCCCTAACAGATGAGGCCTGATGGGAAATTCTTAGCTGATTGATGTTGTGCTCTTGAGGGCTTCATTTGGTTCCCAGTTGCTTTCTGGCTGCTTTTCTTGCCTTGTGACCCCTGTGTGCACTGACCATACTGAAGTTCTCATTAGAGTCAAGATAATAGTGAAATACCCTAGAGCAACAGTTCTCAAGCTATGGGTTGTGACTCTTTGGCAGCCCTCTGTCTCCAAAAGTATTAACATTACAGTTCATAACATCATCCAATTACAGTTGTGAAGTAGCAATGAAGTTTATGGTTGGGAGTCACCACGGCATGAGGAACTGTATTAAAAAGAGTCTCAACATAAGAAAGGTTGAGAACAACTGCCCTGGAGTCCCACAACTGTGAGGTGAATGGACCTTTTTCTTTTTAAAGTTTCCCAGCTGCTAGTATTACAGTAATGGAAAACAAGCAAATACACCAAGCCTCAGAGAATTCAAACAAGTGGTTCAAAGTCATGGAGATAGGTCATGACAGAGCTCCAGGCAGAACTCAGATTCTGTCCAGTTTCCCTCAGGAGAGATGATGGCTCCTGCAGAGCTTGCCTTCCTTACCTTGTGTTTCTGGGACTTTCTCATGGGACACATCTGGACCAATGGCAGGCAGTCACATAACCACTCTATCCCATCTCAACATCCTGTTTTAGACTGAAAACAGATGTGTTGCATGAAGTTCCAAGGGTTCAAACCTGGAATGCTATCACCTCTGCCCCAATGTGAGACATAGCAAGAGAGAGCTGAACAAAGTCAGGACAATAGAGTCTAGTGGGGGGGGGCATGGGCTTTGGCTAGGGTCTGTGGTTTCAAATCCATTTCATTGTCAATTTACTTGGCACAAGTGACTTAATGAATTCATCTGATATCTCTGCCAGTTTTCCCAAATGCCAGTGGAAGAAGCAACAGTCACTGGCATCCATGGTAAGCAAAGTTATAGTAAGTCAATACTATCCCATGATCTTTCAAGTATTACCTCACCTAACTCCCATGGCATTCCAGAGTGACTCTAAGAACTGGAGTGACCCTAGGACCCCCTGAAGAGTATGTGGCAAAGTGAGAAATCTGGACTTGAATCCAAGTTCTAACTATTGCTGCATTACCTTGGATGACAATACATCTACCCCACAGGGTTCTTGAGAGGATAAGTCAGTCAACACACATTCAACAGCAGAGCTGGGAGCTTGTGCGAGGTGCCAGGTATCACACTCAACTCAGCAAGCTATGTGTTGCTAGGCCAACAGAGTAGAACTGAAGTAGGAAGGGAGAAAGAAGACAAAGACTTTACAGATACAGATCCTTCTCATTAGGAAAGGTATGGAAACTAAAGCAAACTAAATGGCTCCTCATGACAGTGATACCTCATGGGAGCTTGAGGGATGCTTGGTTCAGTGTCTGCTTGAAGACCAAGAGTAAGGACAGGTGGCCCCAGTGACTATGATCAACAGGAAAGGACATAGTTGGGTGTCATGTCCTAAAAGGCAGGTTCTAGTGTCAGTGACATCTCACCCAGGTTCAGTATTTTCAGTTCAGGATTTGAGAGAAGCAGTAGAAACTCCCTGAAGAGCAACTGGCCTATGTCACCCACACACTGACCAAGGGCACTTGTTGATATCTGTATTTGCCTGCACAGCTCATGACCCTTGAGTAAATAGCCAGGGTTGGGAAGGTCAGCCAAATGCCTTCTCTGGAAAACCTAATCACTGTAGTCTTTGACTTGATCCAGTTTTTCTGGTTATAAGATTACAAAGAGCACTGCCATTGTGTGACTTTTCCTGAGTAGACATGAAGGACACTGTCACAGACACAAGAAAAGATTCCACCTGAGTCTCACTTAGTGAACCAGTGAGTTTACTGGGCCAACTTAAAGGAGCAGGGACACCTCAAAAGCACCTGTGTCAACAAAGAAACCATCCCAGCATGCGTGATGAGTCAGGAGAACAGAATCCCTGGAGCTCCTGGCATGACTGCAGGCTGCCAAGCCTGTGGAAGAGTGTCTTCTTCCAAGTAATTGCTACTGTTTATGTAAGCTTGAGGAGGGGCCTTGTGAGTCTTGTCGCTTTCAGGAGTCTCCTAAGCTTGTGAGTTCTCCATTTACTTCCTGGTGTATGTGTCTCTCCAGGTGGTTGTCCTCAACATCATCCACAGATATAGAGACTACAAGCATTACAGGTTCACTGAGGCATTCACACACATTTTTACAGAAGGCCATGGAGTTAGGCTACATGCAGTGGGATCAAATTCCCCCAGAGAGTCTTTGAGAAGGATCATAATGTTTTAAACTGTGAGGGTGACATTTGAGCAACAGTGGACACCCCAGGATGTTGAAGATGCCAGGGATGGTGGATATCTGTCCGGAAAAGCCATAGAAAATGAGTGACATCTGCCCAGCACACAGGCTATGTGGGCTGCAAACATCAAAGCTGCAGAAGTAGGGTTGATTGGGGTCATATCATGGTATCATGGCCCCTACAGACCAAATGTGATGCCACAGGATTTGACGTTTGCCTTGCAACATTTTGTTTTGTTTTGTTTCTCAGTTTGGTCCCATCCTTGTTTGTGGCTTACCCATCTTCCCTTGGGATGGGAACATCTATCATGCACTATTGAATTTCAGAAGCACTTATCCTTCTTCTATGCTTACTGGAGTGCACAGCTAAGAGTCCTCTGAGTCTCGGTGGAGACTTTATACATAGACTTTTGAGCAGTGCTGGAACTGGGAAGGTTATCCCAGCTCTTCAGCATGGGCCTAATATGTTTTGTGTTATGAAACAGACATGCTATGGCTTCACCTTCATTGTCAACTGGACTAGGAGATAGAGGTGTGCCCTGGTGTGTCTGTGAGAATGCCCACACATGTTCATGTGGAAGGAAGGATCCACCCTGAATGGGAGTGACACTAACACCTGGGCTGGGACCCAGACAGAATAAACACAGGAGAGTACCACCCTCCTGTCCTGCCTCCTGGTCCACCGTGATGTGAACAGAGGTGTTCCACAAGACTCCCCCTCCACAGTTGACTGAATTATCTGAAACCGGGAGCCCAGATTAATTCTTTCTTCTTTGAGATGATTATGTCATATATTTGGCCACTGTGATGTATGAAGCTGAGGCTTTATCTCAAGAAAATAGAAAGAAAAGCAGCAGAATAACACCCAGAAACTTTTTTTAAAAATTGGTTTCTAAAAATGTAAGTCAATTGTGGATTTTAAGTTTCACATATGAATACAATGCATTTGGATCACACCTACCCCTCTCTCCTCCTCCAACTCCTCTTTAAGAAAATAATAACTTTCTTAAATCTAAAAGCTGAGTCTTTTAAAGATTAGCTAGACAGATTTCTCTAATAAAATGTACCAAAGGGATAGGAGATAATTCAGTCAGTTAAGTGCTTGCCTTGCAAGCTTGAGGACCTGAGTTGGATCCCCAGAGCCTACATAAAATCCAGGCATGATGGCATTTTCTTGCAATGGTGGGACCATGGGAAGTTGAAACAGGCTGATCTCTGGGGTTTGCTGGCCAGCTAGTCTACTTGGAGAGTTCCAAGCCTATGAGAAACCCTGCCTCAAAAACTGATGGATAGAGTCTCTGGAACATTACTTGAAGTTTTATTTGGCCTCCACATGCATACCCAGATTTGTGTATGTGCAACACACACACACACTCACACACACACACACACTATCAAGGAGAAGAATATATATATATATGCATATGTGGAATACTGTTATTAAATAATTAAACACCAATGGAGGGCTTTGTGAACAACTTGTTTGGTTTTTGTTTTGTTTGGGACAGGATTTCTCTGTGTAGTCCTAGCGGTCTTAGAACTTCCTATGTAGACTAATCTAGCCTGTAACTCACAGAGGTCCACCTGATTCTGCCTCCCTAGTGCTGGGATTAAAGGAGTGCACCACCATACCCAGCTAACTGTGAATAACATTTAATATACAAATATTGATGAGATAAATCATTGGCTACAAAGTCCAAAATGGGCTTGCAAAGTAGAAAACTTGAAAAGAATAATAATTGACAAAACTGTAGCACTCCAAACTTCCAGACATGATCTCTGACCTTCTTCCCTTCCCAGCTTCCTTCATCCTTGCATGGAATTAATGGTGCTGCCAATCAAACCCAGGGTTGGGGCTCAGGGCTCAGGATGGGCATTCACAGAGGTTCATCCCCTTGGGCACTGTGGTCAGTCCAGGGACAGACAGTCCTCCGAGGGACTGAAAGAAATACAGAGGCAAAATAATGATCTTTTTTCCTTCGCTGTTAGCCAATGAGATCCACACAATCTGGGGTTTTAGGAGACTCCTTCTCCCCACTGGAACTGAACGGAAGCGGAAGCAGAAGGAGACAAGGGCCACAAGAAAGATCTAGTGACTGACTGGAAAGTCTAAAGCCCTCTCCGCTCTTCAGAAGTCCCATTCACGAGGAAAAGCAACACAGAGACCCAGTGTTCCCTTTTGCTTTATGATACTTTGATGTGTGCCTCCTGCAACAGTCTGGAGAATAAACTTTAACATGGGAGGCGGGCACTAGATGTGGGGATGGAGATGGTCCCAGGGCAGCTCACTTCATCTCCAGCGCCTCTCGGTTTCCTTGTGTAAAGAAGAGACACCGATGAGGACGCCGATGAGGATGCAGCCCAGTGGTGGAGCCCTTGACCAGCATGCATAAGGAAGGCCTCGGGTTCAATCATGGGTAGCTGCAGAAAAATCAAATTAAAAGAAAAGGGACTAGCTCAAATCAGCCTTGTAACGATGATAGCAATCTGTTCGACGAAACATCGGAAGGCTTGAGGGAGCCCAAAGACAGAGTCACACATTCATTCATGCATGTTTGTTTCTCCCACCCTTGGCAGATTCTTCCCCTCCTGGTGTCAAGTACCTGGCTCTTCACCGAGTCCATGCCATGGTGCGTATTAATGACACCAGCGAGTCTCCCGCCAGCTGGCACGCACGGGGGAACCACAAACAATGATGAAACTCCAGCCACATTTTGATATTAAAATAAAGCCTCAGGGATCAGGTGCAGTGGAAAGTTAATCTGCAGCACTGTTCTGTTTACCTTCACTACCTATAAAGCCTCCCATTGGCTGGTGTTTGGGGGGTGGGGGTCGCCAAATGGTGAAGGCCACTGCCTCCCTCCTCTAACCATTAACTAGCAGAGACACTGGCAAACAAGATTTAGTGGACAGTCTTCCGGAAGCCTTACTGTACATGTGCTAGGATCCCAGACAGCAGAGCAGAGCCAGCAGGAACAACGGGAACCCACTGCAAATGTGAGTTACCCCTGAGAATACTCCATGTCTCCTGCTCTTCCCAGGGTCGCCACCTCTGTATCTGCTGCACCCCAGAACACAGCCATGCATGCAACTTGCTTGTTCAAGATTTTTAGTAGACAAACATGAGGGCATGAGGCAAACCCCTGGAGGACTCCCCAGAACCTAGAGTCTGGGGGTTACCAGTGGAGTTTGATATCTTATGGAAGCCTTCCTTGCAGGAGGCTGCCCCTGAGAGCTGTGTTTCATTGCCTCCCGTTGGCCTGATGGAGCAGCATTAGTAGCCAGGAGTGGGAGGGAATCTCAGAGCAGAGATGGATGAGTGCCAGACTGCACTACGGGGTGTGGGCGCACAACTGGCACACGCAGGGGCACTCTAAGGAGTGCCCACACATCTCTCTTCCATAGCTCCTCACTTGGTACCCTGGGGTGGAGATGATGCTGCTGAGAGAAGGACCTGAGTTAACAATCTGCATCATACCACCAGCTATGATGCCTACCCAAACCGCCACCTGATCCGAGTCACTTCAGAGAGGAGTGGCAAGGAGGACATTACTAGAAAGGAACACTTGGCCCTCAGCCTTTTCGTAGGCTGGTCTTAAGGAGCCACCATGCCGACCATGCGGTTTTCGGTAGAGATAGGCAGGGTGGCTCTGGAGACACACGCCCTGTCTGTTATGGATGTCCTGTCCAGCTCAGTTTCCCCATCTCTACAGTGAGTTTCAGGATGACTCATGGAGTTTGTGTAAGTCATGCATTGATGGCAGCCACACCAGGTGTTCACAAGTCTCATGAGGCAGGGGGGCGTTTTCATCTCCGCCATGCAGGTTTGACGCAGGGAGAGTGAGCCTCTCCCCTCAAACAGCAGGAAGAGGAATGAGGCCCAGCCTACTGTTGACTGGGGTCCTTCCCCCAAATGGGATCACAGACAGGTAATGGTGCAGAAACCAAGACGCCCCTGTGTAGAAAACATGGAAAGGGGCAGAGAAGAGGGAAGAAGAAAGGCTTCCTAGAGGCAGTGACCAGGCACCTGAGCCTCAAAAGCCCACAGAGAATGAGCCAGGCAAGGGAACAGAAGGAACGGGCCCACAGAGCAGGGCCACATGGACAGAGGCAGGGTGGAGCCATCTTTATCTCTGGGCCTCAGGCCAGGACAGAGCTCAGCAAACAATGGGGGACTGTAGTGACCTGCTCTGCCTCCTGTAGCCAGCCCAGTCCTGCCTGCCCTAACCTCTGACCTGGCCTAGAGCAGGGTAACTATTCAGTGTGTGCCCAGAGGTAGCGAGTGACACACAGCAGTGCTACAGACAGACAGACAGCACTCTAATGTAAGACTGAAGGGCTGGGTCATGAGGGTCCAGTAGGTTGGGCCTCCTTCCTCTTCCTGCTGTTTCTGGGGGCAACTGTGTGCCTCACTAATCCTCACTATGTGAGTCACCCACAGAGGTGAGGGTCAACCTCATAGGGGCAGTAGGGGGGCTCTGCAAACAGCTTCTGCAGCTGTGTCCTACCCCTCTTTCTGTCACAGATGTCATACCTCTGGTTTGGGTAGTCCCCAAGATATTGATGTATAATTTTGGTGTTGTTTGAGAATTTGAGAACTTTACCCATGAATGTGTATTCTAATGAAATCCACTCCCTCTTCCCTCCCCTTCAAGTTGTCCCCTCTTCCTACTACACCCTCCCCAACTTCATTTTTTTTAATTACTTTGTTTTTTCATTTGTTTGTTTGTCTTGGGTCTTTGTTTGAGACGGGGTTTCTCTGTAACATTCCTGACTCTCCTGAAACTCACTGTGTAGACCAGGCTGACCTAGAACTCAGCTCTGCCTGCGTCTGCCTTCCAAGTACTTGGATTAAAGTTGTGCACCACCACTGCCTGGCCTTTTTTTTTAATACTCAGTTCATTTAGTGTGGCTATGTGCATGGTGTAGGTCCATCTACAGAAGAATGGCTAGTCTCTCAAGAGTGCCATTCATGAACAGCTTCTCCCTCTTCCAGAAGCCACAGATGGAAAACCTACTGCTCTTACTCTGCTAAAGAAACACAGTAACTTTTACCAAGGGATTAGTGAGTCTCAACCCTACGTCACCAGAGAGGCTTCTTTTTGCAGTAGGTGGTGGTTCAGCAGAGAACCTCAACACATCAAGGCTTTCACAAATCACATAGAATATAAAAAGGTGAATTTGCAAAGTGGAATTCCAATGACACCTAGCCTGACAATTGTCTGCACACTGCTCTTTGGCCATCATCTTTATCTCTCTCTGTCCATCTGCTTCTAACTGGTGCCCTGTGCCTTTTCATTCTGATCTGCAATCAAAAGGAAACCAATTTAGCAGGGTTTCCTACTGTGCAAACTGAGCATGGTTTAGCAAGCTGTTGGTTTTGAAGGAGAGCTTGGCAACATTTTATTTTTTCTTGAATATTAAATATATGAGTTGCATGGGTACTTAGCCTGTCTGAGTTTCTGACTGCCTACCATAGAGTTAAGAAAGTCTACCTTGAGGTTTTTGTTTTGTTTTGATGAAACTTGCACGAAAATATAGGCAAAGTGCTTGAGGAAGTCTTGGGCACTCAGCAAGTGCACTATATTCAAAAGCACTGTATTGCACTATATAGCAAAGGCACATATTCAAAGGAGGACATTGAAGCCCAGGGCTCTGTGTGACTGCCTGGGTCAATTTCTTTCACAGACAAAATGAACGGGAAAATGGGTGTCAAAGTGTGGTCTTGACCTGTCCCCCACAGCACTCTGTGCCCCTGACTCTGGGACTTCCCTGTCATCTAACAAGCACTCTTGATTTGGCAGGGCCTGGTCAACCAGAACAATGATGTCACTTGCTCTGTACACCTGTTTCCTCTGGCTCCTCACCAGTGGCCTCAAGACTGTCCAATCCTTGCATGATTCTCACCGAGGCCTAGCTCCTACTAATGTTGACTTTGCCTTCAATATGTATCGTCACCTATCGACCTTGGATCCTCACAAGAATATCTTAATTTCCCCTGTGAGCGTCTCCATGGCCTTGGCCATGATGTCCCTTGTCGCCGTAGGCTCCAAAAAGAACCAGTTTTTCCAGGATGTGGGCTTCAACCTCACAGAGATCAGTAAAGAAGAGATCTATCAGAGCTTCGAGAAGCTCAGTCACCTTCTCAGCAAGGCAGACAGCAGCTTGGAGATGCGCATGGGCAATACCATGTTCCTTGACCAGAGCCTGAATATGAGGGACTCATTCTTAACAGACATCGAACACTATCATGAATCAGAGGCCTTGACTACCGATTTCAAGGACGGGGCTGATGCCCGTGAGCATATCAACAGGCATGTGGAGACTAAGACACAGGGAGAAATTACACATGTGTTCTCAGACCAGGATAGTCCAGCTCCCCTCACCCTGGTCAACTACAATGTCCTCAAAGGTACTGTTCTCCCCTACTTCCCATGCTCATGAGGTCCTGCTCCACCTCAAATCTCCCTAGTGCCCACAAAGTCATCGAGTTCACAGTTGGTTCTGACCATGTCCTGTCGCTAACAAATGCCCGTGTCTGCCAGTGTTCTTGAACACTTCCTTAAAGATTTGTTAGAATTATAGATTCCAGAACTTACGACAGACCCCTGAAGCAAGGCCTCTGCAGGAAAGCCCAGAATGTGCCACGTGTGCCCCTCCACCAACTTAATGCCACTTTTATGATTGGTCGGTTTGGAGACATCTCATCCTTGAGAATAAAATCTGAACTTCTGCTATAACACTGATTCTCAGCTGAAGGTGATGTCCCCACCTTCCCAGGAACGTTAGGCAACCTTGGGGAGCATTTGTTAAAGTCAAAACTAAGGGTGAGATAGGATGAGCTGTTGGCATCCAGTAAGTAGAGGCCAGGAAGGCTGCTGAACATGCTACTCACAATGTTATTCACAATGTGCATACACACACACACACACACACACACACACACGCACGCACGCACGCACGCACGCACGCACGCACGCACGCACGCACGCACGCACGCACGCGGTCTGACTATACCAAATTTCTCCCCTGTCCTTGAGCATGCTTGCTTCCACAGAAGCTGGTGTGAGCCTCTTGATAGTAGTGTAACAAGTTCCAGGGGCAAACAGTGGCTGTATGCATTTGTTATTCGATCACCATTGAAGTCAGGGGAACAGAATGGGACTCACTGCTCGGGGCTGGCTCCTGAAGGCAGAAGAGGTTGGGGGTGGGAGATTGCAAGCAGACAAGCTTTGACTCAGTCTAAGGAGCAACATTCTTCCTGTCTGAACTGACCAGTACCACAGCAAGCAGACAGCCTGGATGGTGACCCCACCAGCTAAGGGTGAGGGGGAAACTGTGAGGTGGAGGGCATCCTGTATCCTTACTCCATTGTCTGGAACACCTCCTCCAGGAACTGGCCAGACTTTCAGGATAGTTCATTTCTCCAAAGCTAGCTCCTCCCTCTGCCCGCCAGGACCACCAGAACTCTCAGCACTGAGGCCCACCTCAGACCCAGAGTCCCGGGTAGAAGTCTAGCTCAAGTGGTGCCTACCCTAAATCCAAGATCCATGCCCCTTTTCTCTTCTCTTGCCTGTGCTTGAAAGCCAATCTCAAGCAGAGCTAATCTGCAACCACCAGAGGCAGGGGACAGGATAGGCATCCTAGCCTAGCATACTGCCGCTGCATCACACTGTTGAATGCAGAACTGGCTGTAAGCCCCTGGGGATTATCACATCTTTCTGAAATCAGGCAGCTCAAACTGGAGTATTCCTGGCATGCTGCAGGCAGCTAGCTACCTAGCTTGTTTCTACAGGAACAGTGGGTGTTCTGCTGCTTCAGAAGAGGGTGCCCAAGCTTTCTTTTAATTCCCAGTCTACTAACCTAATGATTGATAGCCCCCCATCTCTTCCCTCCTTCATATCTTTCCAGGCATGTGGGAGCTCCCCATAAGCCCAGAGAATACCAGGGATGAGGACTTCCATGTAAGCGAGAATAGCACGGTCAGGGTGCCCATGATGTTCCAGTCAGGTGTCATCGGTTATCTTCATGACTCAGAGATCCCCTGCCAGTTGGTACAGATGCAGTATTTGAAAAATGGGACTACCTTCTTCATCCTTCCAGACGAGGGCCAGATGGACGCTGTCACCGCTGCACTTCATAGGGACACAGTTGAAAGGTGGGACAAGCTGCTGACCAAAAGGTAAGCCCTCCAGGCACCATGTGGGTTCAGATTGGGTGTATATTTCTGGAAAATGAGGGGTAAAGACTTCTTTCTCTCCAAGATAGACCCCATAAGGTCTTACTGTTTCCCAGAGGCTATGAGGTTCTGTAACTGAAAGGTATACTTATATATCCACCTATCACAGAGGTCATTCGGGGTGTAGCACAAGTCCAAGCCCCGTTTCTTGTGAATGCCATAATCATAGTCATTTTATACATGTTAGGCTCCTTTTTACAGAACTCAAGGACTTCTCTAGCCATACCTCCCAGCATTCCAAATTCCCCAAGTCAATTCTCAAGGCTTGTTGGGTTGTCACAGAAAATGATTTATTCTTTATAAAATTTATTTATAAAAAGAAGACTTAGTAGATTGGATTATACACCACTATAGTATAGATAGTCCAACAATGGACCTGACTGAGAAAAAAACAGAAGTTTCTCAATCCATGAGGCTGGATGGCTCAATAGTTCAAATCTGACACTGAAGACCTAGAAGATTCCTGGAGAACAGGTGGTCTTCTTTCCATAGTAGAAGTCTGAAAGTTGGATTCTGATGGCAGTAAATGATGGCAGAAGCAGCAGGTAGTGGCAGCAACAGAGTAGGTTAAAGGTCAGATGAACTTGCCAGCAAGACATGAAAATAAGCAGCAACCTCTTCCTTTAATATCCCCTTTCCTGGTCTGATAATATCGGAACTCAGGCCATTTAGGATGGGTCCTCCCTCCTTTGTTAAGCCTCTCTGAAAATGCTTTCATAGATATGTTTGAAAGTGTATCTCCTAGGTGATTTTAAAGTCCAGTCATTTGAAAATGAAGATCAACCATCAGAGGCCTTAACAGTACATAGGCTGAACCAGCTGTGATAAGGATATTAGCAGAAGGGATAGGACTTGACTATTGAGGCATAGAATCATTTGTATAACTTGGCCAGGACTAAGGCTCCTGGTCAGTTCTCTTCACTACTCTTCTTCTACCTTCTTTTGAGACCATAAGATCAGTGGTCCAGCTATATCACAGATATAATCAGCTCAAAGGAATCATGCAGAAAAACAAATGACTTTAGGTAATTCACAGCCCTAGAGAAGGCTTACACATGAGGAAGAGAGAGTTCCTGCCCTTTTCCCTGCCCTTCATCCCTAGTGAGTGAGTTAGCCTGGTGCTACAAGTACTGAAGAGATCACACAAAGAATGGGGCATCTGTCTGGGAAAGGATGTGCTGCTGTCTACCACCAGGGCTAGCCTTGGACCCTCTAACTTCTTCGGCTTCAACTGAACAGGCTGGTGAACCTGTACATCCCCAGAGTCTACATGTCTGGTACCTACAACCTCGAAGATGTGCTGGAGGGCATGGGCATTACAGGCTTATTCACCAACCAAACAGATTTCTTAGACATCTCCCAGGATCCTCCACAGAAAGCATCAAAGGTGAGTAAGTGTCTTGGGAGCTTTTCTTCCAAAATTTACACCAACAACTCTTAAGAGTAAGCAACACAGCCTATTGGTGAATACTCCCCGGGATGCCTAGCTGAAAACCCCAGATTCAAGCCTTTCAACCACAGCAAAGTAAACAGAAACTCAGCAAGGAAACAAGTGCACAGAAAGCTCATGACAAGGGAGAGTCACAGCCCATGCAGCTACCCATGCCCCTAAGCCTCACAGAGAGGGGACACTGGAAAACAAAGTTGTCAAGGCAGAAATGAAGGCAGCCTTGGTAGAGAGTAAGAGAGGACACAGTAAAGGTCCCATTAACAACACACAGAGCCTTCTAGTCGGTTTCACGCTTGATGTTCTCAATTCGTAAATTCACTCAGAACTTTTTGATTGAACACATACTATGTGCCCAAGCCTGTGCTGGATCTGGGTATGTTTCCATTACTCAAATGTGGACACTGTCCTCAAAACACAAGGGCTTTGAGTGCACAAAAGCCTTACGTAGTGAGATGTGAGTTCAGTAAATGTGCCCTGTGGATAAGTAAACTCACCAAGGAAGCTGGGCCACACAGAAGCCTCCCTTTATCTGTTTTTTTAATGATAAATGGATTTTTTCCCACCATGGCTGTACTACAAGTACTGAAGGATTGAATGTTCTAAGGTCACAAAGCACATTGACCACTGAACTAACTGGAGCTTTGGGCTTATATAGCGGAGGTAGAAATTATTCCAACTGCTCAGAGGTATCCTTAACACAGGAAGGGTGAAGAGCTTGACACAGTCACAGGGTTAGCAAAACCAAACAGCAACAGCAGCAGCAAAAACAGTTGAACGTTTGATCTTGGGTCTGTCTACACAAGGTCTCAAGTCCTGAAGACCCACTGCAGAAGTCCAGGTCACAGCTCAGCCTCTGCCTGTCTGCAGGAACCTATCACAGGGACACTCAGAGACCTACAGACTTCCTGAGAAGTGGAACTGATGAAAACACACACACACACACACACACACACACCACTACCACCACGGGGTGCTGGGAATACATTGACTGTAACCTATTGTTTAGTTACCGGGGTAGGATCTGTCAACCAGTTAGCTGTTTTCAGAATCCCACCTAATTTTCATCACTAAAAGGAACACACCAACAGCCAAGGATTTGCATTTCTGCTTCAGCCTGGGCTTTCCTAGGCAGAGTAGGCATAAGCACTTCATACAAGTTCAACTCTGCTGTTTTCATAGCAGAATGGACAAAGTGAGGTGTCTTGAAACCTGGGATCTGGTAAATAGAGCCCAAGATGGACCATGAGACCCAGTTCCTCTAACTTCTGTGTGGTGCGCACATCCTGCTTTTCCAACAGGGAGGAAATTAGGTGCAGTCTAGGGTCTGGAGCTGGTGCTTAGACATGGAGTAAACACGTGATGCTTTGGCAATCCTGGCTGCTTCACCTTCTGTGGAACAGAGGGTGAGATGTCCATGTGATGAGACATGGACAGTTCCTGCCTCACGACAGGCTCATTTCCTGCCTTTGGTGTGTTTCTCACAGATAGTCCACAAGGTCATGCTGCAACTGGATGAGAAAGATGAACCGCCTGTTACCACCACAGAGGCTCCCCCACAGACAACATCTGAACCGCTCACCCTCACCTTCAACAAACCCTTCATCATCATGATGTTTGACAGCTTCACTTGGAGCAGCCTGTTGTTGGGCAAAATCATGAATCCAGCTTAGTGCATGCTGGAGAAGCTATGGTACCGCCTGACTTTGGGGGGTAGAAGCCTTTCCCCAGTCTTCTCCAGGTTCTTCCGAACCCAACTAGGTATCCCTACTTTTAGATATCCTGTAATGTATAACCATTGTTGCTACTCCCAAGACAGGTCAACTGATAAAGTAGCACTGAGATAGAGGGAACTGTTATTAAAGGGTGTTTTTGCAAACTCTGGGCTTCATTCTTGATTTACACCTAGCTGGTGCCTTCTCACTATCCTCGCATGGAGGGAAGAGTAGAGCGGAGAGGACTCTCTAGGGTCTTTCATGAGGGCTCCATCCTTATGATCTCATCACCTCCTGGAAGCCCTCTTAGTCTTCTAATACTAGGTTTCCAAATGAATCTGTAAGACACTCAGTCTGTAACATGTAGTCCTGCCACAAGAGGGGTGACTCGGGCCAACAGAACCACTTCTGCTTCTTACAGGAACAAGAACACAGGGCATCTTGGATCAGTCATAGGTCCAGAGTGTAGTGTGGAGAGGGAGATGTGTGGCTTCAGAGGGAGCCCCGAGACAGAAGCCCAGCTGGGTCACAGAGTGGTCCTAAGCTGAAACTGGAACTATGTGGTTTTCTTTAGAAGGTTGCAGGGAGAGGGGCTGGGTGCACACTGGAAGGGCTGGCAAAGCCTGTCATGGGTGCGTGAGTGGCACAGAGTTGTCAGAGGAGACTGTAGCAGATGGGAGGGGTCAGTTCCAACACGTGTTAGTTCTCTGTTCTTACCACACAATCAATACACATGCACGCTGATGCGGAACCCCAAGGTCTGAGTCAGCCACACTGAGCCAGTCTCCCCTACCTCTACCCAGAGTACTCCCATGTCACCCATGGGCAGAGCACTGTTTCTGTTCCTCTGCGACAGTGGTTTGAGTTTTGTTTCCATTTTTTTCACAAGTCAAAGAATAATCAATTCAAGCTCACAAATGTCCTTTCTCTTAATTCCGCCTATCCTTAAATACACTGTATGTGAAATATGGTTTCAGAATAAGCATTCTTTTATCAATGGATATTTAGCAGAAATCAAAGTGCCATCTGCAATAAATTGGTTGGAAAAACTCGATTAAGCCATGTTTGGGGATTGGTAGGTACTGAAGAACAAGTAGTTCTCATTCTTGAACCAGCTCCAGATGAATCAAAGATTTAAGAGCAGTGTATGTTTTTAGAATAACTTCAAAAGAAGGAAGTATGCAAAACCCAGAACCACTAAAGAAAAGGCTGCTGCATCAAGCTACATAACGAAGTTAACCTGGTTTCAAAGACAATGAAGAGGGTGTCTTAGGATTTCTATTGTTGTGAAGAGACACCATGACCATGGTAACTCTTACAAAGAAAACATTTAATTGAGGTGGAGGCTTATAATTATCATCATGGCTGGGGAGCATGGCGGTTGGGAATATGGAAGCACACAGACAGACCTGTGCTAGAAAGGCAGGCGGACAGGACACTGGGTGGTATCTTGAGCATATATGAGACCTCAGAGCCCCATCCCATAGTGACACACTTTCTCAAACAAGGCCATATCTACCCCAACAAAGCTGTACCTCCTAATAGTGCCATTCTCTTTGGGGGTCATTTTCTTTCAAACTGCCACAGAGGGGTAAAAATATGAAAGTTAATTTCTCCACCACATCACTTAATATTTTTAAAAGACCAGGAGGAGCTTGAATTGGGCCTGGGACAATGGTGGCTGATTGACTATTCTTTTCTTATGTATCTTCCCAGGATAGTATAAAAACCAATACTGTACAAATAAAACTCTGGGTGATTCAGGCTTCCACATGGCATTATCACCTGAAATATGAGCCCCAGGAGAGGGTGGGTGTAGGAGGGGAAATACTTGGAAAAATATCCTAGCATTATTGGGTAGTGGGATAGGTAGGCTATAGGGCCAAGTGGAAACAGGTTACTGGAGGTGTGTCATTAGGTGCCACACCTTGACTTGGCCACTTCCTCTATCCTGTTTCTGCTTCCTGCCCACAATAAGGCAAGCAGCTCCCCTTCATATGTCCCTACCTCCATAGTGTTCCACAGCACTACAGCTCCCTAACGAGTGGGCCCAATGACTGTGGTTTTGAAATGACTGAGTTCTGAGTAAAATAAACCTCTTTTGAGCTGTTCATGTCGGGCATTGGTCACAGCAAAGAGAAAAGCTAATGAGAAATGGCTGGTGTCTACTTTGGTTTTCTTTGGTTTCATTTTTTTCCAAACTTGATGAGAGCTCTAAGTTCACATGTCCAACAAATCAAACACATCCACATGAAAGCCACAAAGAACCACGGGCAAGGAACAACATGATCAATATAAAGAGAAAATTCCAAAAATCAGCCAAAAGAAAAAAAATAGATGCACTACACAGAGAGCAAAGATAAAGATAAAGGTGAATTTCACACCTGGAGTTATGTCAGTTGGCCGACATGCTGAAGTAAGAAACACACTCCCTCTGTGACTTTCCTAACCACACTATGCAACCTGGAGATAACAGGAAGAACTTCAAACAAGCCTAAAATGAAAACCCTACAAAGTATCCAGGCAGAGTCCCTTCCAACAGGTTTGGAGAGAAAAGAAACAAGCCCGTATTGCCTAGGTGGGAAGGGACATGAAAACCAGCTTCATTGGGAGCTCTGGGAGTGGACGCTAAACCAGAAAAGGTGGGGAATTGAAAAGATCCAAATGTGTGGATATTATCAACACAACACAGTATCCCTATAGACTTTATGGGTTTGGTCATTATATGGTGTTTACATACAGTAGTTAAAAGACAGTATATATAAACACATTATGAGTTTTGGTAAGTTCAAGGATGTTTATGAATAGAAAGATAAAACCTAGAACTCATGAAACACAAAGATGCCTCTAACGTTCTGGAAGTGACGGAAGGAGGTTATAACAGTTTTTCAGAAAGAAAAGAACTCTTTAAAATGAAGACAAGGGGACCAGAGAGATGACTCAGCGGTTAAGAGCCCTGGCTGGTTTTCTAGAAGACCCAGATTTGACTGCCACCACTAACCTGTGAGCTCACAACTGTTAACTCCAGTTCCAGGGGGTAAAACTCCCTCTTCTGGACTCTGTGGGCACTGCATACATGGTGCACAGCCACGCAGGCAAAACATCCATATAAGCAAAGTAAAAATAAATATATAAATGACAGCAAAAATTTTAGAATACCAAAGATGAAACATGTTACACTGATTAAATATGTGTTTAAAGTATTTATTTAGGCAGGAAGATGATTCCAGGTGGGAATTTGGACCTACATGAAAGAATGAAGAGTATCAGAAAAGTAAATATGTGGGAAAAGATGAAACATATTTCAAAGATATCTTTAAACTACACATTACTGAAACAGAAATAATAACAACACAATTTGTTATGCAAGTTATCAATTTATTACTCATCAGCTCTAAGTCCTTCCAAATCTTCTAAGTCTGGATCTTTTTAATGTTTCTGCTTCCCACTTGGGACATGTCTGCCTTTGTCAGTAGATGGCGCCAGAGAGACACTGTGGAATGAAGCGGGTTCACTTTTCCTGCCTGATTCCCACCAGACAAGTGAGACAGAGCACTAGATGGTAATTAGATACAGACAGACAGGCAGTCAAACAGACACTAGATAGAGACTTATAATTACAAAGATCGATATGTGACTAGATGGATGAGGACATATGATGGAAATATACATCCTGGAAAAATATAGTTAAAGATACTTTCTTACCTGTACCTCTAGAATGCATGGGTAGACACACATACACACCTGATTCTTCAAAGCCAGGATTTTTCTTACATAGGGAAACACTAAATTGATTCTCACTAAAACAAAAACTGAGACAAAAATACTCCTCATATCCTTTGTCATTTCACATTGTACTGGGATTATTTATCAGATGATCTAATTAATTACAGAAAGGACAGTAGAACAGGGAGGGGGAATAAAACTGTCTGGGTCTTTATTATGTGATCATATGTCTGCATCGCTAAAAGACAAAAGGATACCAAAGTCTGTGTCAAAAGTACACATGAAGACCAAGGGCCACACAAATCAGTAAATGAATTCAGCAAGAAGTCAGCTTATAATTAGCATACAGGGACACCTTTAATATGTACAAATAACTGCCAGCCAAAACTTGCAAGGGAAGAGCCAAGCCAACAACAGCCCAAAAGATACAACACACAGGAATAAAAGTAACAGTGCCCCAAACACACTGAGTAAAATGAAATATTCTCCTTTGAAATACAAGATCAGGACCTCCTGGCCTGGGGACTGCAGGCAGGTCGACTTGCCCCCAGTGGACCAAGCAACCCAGAGTCTGCTGACATCTCTGTGCTAGTCCCGCCCCCACTAAGGGAAGAGGTGAGCATGGGTCCCTGTCTCAGGCCCGACTTCCCCTTGCCCACTTTGGGATCTCCTGGATTGGGGACTGCAGCAGGTTGACTTGCCCCTGGTGGACCAAGCAATCCAGAGTCTGCTAATATCACTGTGCTAGAGCCACCCTGTCCCACCCGGAGATGGAGTGTCTCAGATCAGCCTGCACCCACTGGGAGACCCATCAGAGTACTGGACCTGCTTGCACCCACCAGAAGAGAACCGTGGACCCGTACCTATCAGGAAAGGAAGAGACCCCACTTGCACCCACTGGAAGAAGGGATAGGAAGATGAAAATATAAGAATACATTCAACAACAGAAAAAAAATAATATGATGCCACCAGAGTCTAGGACTCTACACCAGCAAAACCTGAATATCCCAACACAGATGAAGCAGAAGAGAATGACCTTAAAACAACTTCATGAAGAAAATAGAGACCCTAAAAGAGGAAATGAGAAGATTCCTTAAAGAAATGGGAGAAAAACAAACAAAAAATTCAAGAAATGGAGGAAAAGACAAACCAAAAATTGCAAGAAGCAATTAAACAGTGAAAGATTTGAAAGCTGAAATAGAGACAATAAAAAAACACAGTCTGAGGGAATTCTGGAATTAGAAAAGGTGGGTAAACAATCAGGAACTACAGATGCAAGCATAACCAACAGAATACACGAGATAGAAAAGAGAATCTCAGGCATTGAAGATACACTAGGAGAAAGAGATTCATCGACCAAAGAAAATCTTAAGTCAAACAAATCCCTAACACAAAATATCCAGGAAATATGGAACACCATGTAAAGGCCAAACCT